CGAGGCGGTGTTGTTCTTTCCGTGGCGAGTCATGATATTGCTGCTGCTGCTGGTTCAGGTAGTGCTGATGGGATTCTACTCTGACAATATAGAATCCTGAAACGTCGCGTTGGAAGTCGCAGTTTATAGTTTGTTTTGACAGCCTCTCTCTCATGAATAGCGAGAATAATCCTGCAGCAGCTGCAGCAAGCAACCAAAAAGCCGTACTCTGTGAAGGGGCGCCGCCGTTTAAAGTTCTATTTTGGTACAGGAGGGCCCTCGGCGCCCACTTCGATAGTGTGTGGAAAGCTGATGACCACCACCACTACCAGCGCCAGAGCGCCAAAGTATCGAAGTATCGTAGCCTTTTCATGACGCCCGATGAAATGCGCCGACGCCGCCGATACTCTTTGCACCCGATGACTGTATAACGCAGTGGACAGTGCAGAGCAGTACAACAGCCCCGGCAGACGGCTCCACTGCCGCGCGGCAGCGGCCGTCGATGATGATGAGGCAGCACTGAAGGGAAAGCAGAGAGAGAGAAAGAAGAGAAGAAGGAGCAGCATAAAGCGGCGGCGATCTGCTCAGTCGCCGACGACAGTCACCGAGTGTCCCCGTGTTCAGACGCGCATTTCCATTTCACTTCCATTGCACTTCTCCTCCTCCTCCTCTGTCAGCCATTGGACCAGCAGCAGCCAGCCAGCCAACCAACTATCCAACTATCCCAGCAGCAATCGACCAACAGAGCAAGTCACCACCGACGACGACCGCTATCTCGGTAAGCGAGCCACCAGAAAGGCCACCAGAGCCAACCAGACAGACAGAGCTAGCCAGCCAGCAAGCAGTAACTCCTCACCAGAGCTAACCTAACCTAACTGCGCTGTTCTATCACTCTCATTCCAGCACTCTCGCCAGCCAGCCACTCTCTTGCTCCCTCGCTCGTCCATCTCACCCATCTCACTCCTTCACTCAAAAACACCTTCTTCTTCTCCTTCTCCTTCTTACGAGCACCGTCTCACCACCCGCCACCCGCCAACCAACACACAATGTCCGACGACGGTCTTTCCCCAGTTTACGCCCCCTTCTTCGGCGTCCTCGGCACCGCTTCGGCCATCGTCTTCAGCAGTCTCGGCGCGGCATATGGCACGGCCAAGTCGGGCACGGGCATCGCCGCGATGGCCGTCATGCGACCGGAGCTCATCATGAAGTCGATCATTCCCGTGGTCATGGCGGGTATCATTGCCATCTACGGCCTGGTGGTGGCGGCCATCATCGCCAACCAGCTGGAGGAGGGCGGGAAGAAGGACGGCTACAAGCTCTTCAAGGGCTTCCTCCACCTGGGCGCTGGCCTCTCCGTGGGTCTGTCCGGCCTGGCGGCAGGCTTCGCCATCGGCATAGTCGGCGACGCGGGCGTCCGCGGCACGGCCCAGCAGCCACGTCTCTTTGTCGGCATGATTCTCATTCTCATTTTCGCGGAGGTGCTGGGTCTCTACGGGCTGATCGTCGCCCTTGTGCTCGCCACCAAGCAGTAGTTGCTTTTCCTCCTCCTTCTCCTTCTCCTTTCTTTCCTCCTTTCTGCGTTGTGCGTGTCTGCTGAGCTACCGAGTCTGCAGCATCTGCAATCTAAGTCTCTTTCTTTCCCTTTTCTTTCTCTTTCTCACCTATTTTTCTCCTCTATCTGATACAATGCGACGAGCACCAACAACACCTACCGCCACCACTCTCTGTCTCGTTTAGATGTTTCTCTTTCCCGCTCCCTCTCTCTCATTACCTTCATTAGATCAAGCACACACACACACCATAATTCTTTCTTAAAACCTCTCTTATTTATATTACAAAGAAATAACCCAGCAAATATGCATTGAACTGTGTAAAATAAACTGTATTCCAGATTGTATGCGCTTTTCGCTGCTGTCGTCGTGCTCGAGAAACGCCCCCCACTCATCCACTCACTACCTTACACCAGAAATCCAAGCACAGACACACATTCCCACCTCTCTCTCCATTTAATTACTCTACCTACCTGTGTGACACATCTCATCTAATCTTATCTGATATACTACCTGATCCTATCATCACCACCGCTGCTGAAGATCACCCGTCATCAACACGTTCTTCTTGGTTTTTGTTGTTTTCCTGAACTGACCGACTTAAAGACACATTATATTATATCATACCGATACAGAAGCATAAGCAGACTCTGTTGTTGTTATTGCTCTTTCTCTCTCATGATATTCTCGCTTTGCTTGCTTGAAAGAATGAACCCACACACATCTTTGCGCTTTTAAATCAAATAAAGATGACCAAATAGAACTGAAAAGAGTCGTTCCATCGGATGATTGCAATTTTAATGGGTGAATGTACATGGAGTAAGTTACAGGCAAGTTACAGTTGTGTATCACAGTTTCAATCGGGAACGACGTCCTCGGGGAAGCCCATCTGAATCGCCTGTTCGTACTTTTTGTAGTGTGAAAGGAACATGGTGAAGCAGCAGAAGCGTTTGATGCCCAGCTCGTGAAAGAGTGGTCTGTGGTGAGAGTGGAAAGAACAAAGAAAAGAGGGATTAGGATGAGTGAATCACCATCAGCATCACATGATACTCACTCAAGCGACTCGACGTCCTCGCCGCTCATTTGTCGCCGGCTGACGGCCTCGTCAAAGGGCTCCCAGAGGTGGCCGATGACCTTGCCGCACGTCCAGCACCGAACCGGAAAGAGCATACTGTTCGGATGGTGGTGTTATCTCCCAGAGGATATCAGGTTTGCATCAAGGAAAGCTGAGAAAATGAGGCCGCCGCCGATGCCAGAAAGAAAATATCTGCAGCCTGCTGCACCAGCTGCAACGCCAATGATGCAATCCACAGACGGCGTATTTGTTTTGGCTATTCTGGAGCTGAAACAGCTGCTGCTTCTGCTGCTGCTGGAGATACTGTGGTAAGTAGAACTGTCAGTGGAGATTCCGTTTCTATTTAACGTTATCTAATCACTTGATTTTTTCCCTTTTCAGATCTTTTTAAATCGCGGATGATCATCAATAAAACATCATCACATAGTCATGAACATTCTGCCGCACAAGTCGTGGCACGTTCGCACGAAGAAGAACATCGCCCGCGTCCGTCGGGACGAGGAGAAAGCGGCCAAGGAGGAAGAGGAACGCCTACGACGGGTCAACCTTGCAGAGCATGAGGCGAGAATCGAGGTGCTCCGGACTAAACGAGGTCTGGCGGATGAACCAGCTAGCAAAAAAGCAGCGAGAAAAGGCGATGGAGGTGATCAGCAGCAAACAGAAAAGTTCAGTCTCTTTGAGAACTACCAAGACACTGGAGGCAGGGATGCCGAGAAGGAGGCGGAGGAGAAGGCCGAACAGGAGAAGTGGGAGGTAAAGACGGGTATCTTTAGCTACATCGACGGCCGCTACAAGCACGAGAACGAGGACCAGTGGTACCTGAAGGCGTCTGGAGATCTTCGAAATCGAGGACAGTCGCAACCACAACAGCCTTCAACGTCCTCAAATGAAGAGGCGATACTGGACTTGAAGGACGAACGTGCAAAGCAGCGTCTCGATCCACTGCTCGAAATCAAGCGAAATCTAGCGCAGATGGAACGCAGAGATGGCGGAGCTTCTTCTTCTTCTTCTGCCCCTTCTACAACTTCAAACAACAATCAAACAACGATGAAAATTAAACAGGAGATCAAGACGGAGCCTGACGACAATCATCACGATCACCACCACCACCATCACCACAATTCAGAGACGAAAAGGCACAAGACCAAGAAGAACAAAAAGGAAAAGTCATCAAAGCACAAAAAGTCCCACCGAAAGTCGAAGAAGCGGAAGCACCACCATTCTTCTGAATCAGACTCAGATGACGACGATAAAGCGGCGGTTATGACTAGAGAGAGGGAAGCAGAGAGGGAGNTCAAGCGAAATCTAGCGCAGATGGAACGCAGAGATGGCGGAGCTTCTTCTGCCCCTTCTACAACTTCAAACAACAATCAAACAACGATGAGAATAAAACAGGAGATCAAGACGGAGCCTGACGACTATCATCACGATCACCATCACCACAACCATCACCACAAATCAGAGACAAGTAGGCACAAGCACAAGAAGAACAAAAAGGAAAAGTCATCAAAGCACAAAAAGTCCCACCGAAAGTCGAAGAAGCGGAAGCACCACCATTCTTCTGACTCAGACTCAGATGACGACGATAAAGCGGCGGTGATGACTAGAGAGAGGGAAGCAGAGAGGGAAGCACTCACCCAGCGACTTCGCCTGGAACGCCTCGAGCGGGAACGCAAGGAACGCCTAAGGACGCAGCAACTTCTTCAGGGACCTCAACCTCAGTCTCCACCAAACCCGGCAATAGCTGCCAATCAACAGCGATACAACTCGCAATTCAACCCACACATTGCGCGACAGAATCAGCCCCAACAGCAGTAAAAACAACAGAGAAGTGGTAAGCGTTTGCGGCGTTTACTGTGTGTGTGTGTGTTGCACTGTGACCGATTGCAGGGATAATTTAATAATAACAAATAAGAAAGAGAGAACCACCCCTTCCCTCTCCTAAGGAATGTTCTATACATGATTTGTTTGCTGGTGGAGAGGGAGAGAAAGAGATTGGGTTGAATTGCAAAGAGGAGCAGACAGGCAGAGCTTGATCGTCCTCAGAAAGAGTTAGAGATAATGAGGGACGTTGTTGTTGCTGCTGCTGCTGCTGCTGATGTTGGTGTTGTTGTCGCCGCTACATTGCGTGCTTGCGAGTCCAGTCGCGAGCAATCTCATTGTACTTGGTGCGGTCGGCCTTGTACATTCGGGCCGAGTCGGGCACCAGCGGGTCGTCCGGGTTTGGGTCGCACAGCAGCGAGCAGATGCTCAGCAGGACCTTGCTGATGGTCAGCGCCGGGCTCCACTGGTGCTTGAGAATGTCCAGGCAGATGCTGCCATTGCTGCGTGGAAGAAAGTGAGAAAGTTATTAGAACAAGAGAGTTCCGAAATGGGGAAAATGAAGCTCTCACCTGCTGATGTTGGGATGGTAGATCTTGGTGGTGAAGCGCACTCGAGGCGGCTGTTTCGAAAAGAGAAAGAAAGATGTTAGTGAGTTTGAAGCGAGGATAAACATGAGGAAAAGCCGCTCTCACCTTGAATGGGTAGTCAGTGGGAAAGGTGATGACCAGAAAGAAGACGCCGCCCTGGTAGGGCGACTCTGACGGCCCGGAGATGGTCGCCTGCCAGTTGTAGAGATCATCGCCGACGGGACCGGCGGAGCACTGAGCCGGCGGGTCGCGTTTCAGGTCGTCCAGCTCCTTCTTGATGCGTTTCAGGGCCATCTTTCCAAGAGTGAATGAGAGTGAGATTTGCGAGAGAGTGAGAGAGTGAGACGGAGAGATCTGCCGGTCAAAGATCAGCGAGTGATGCAATTAGCGAGAGAGGGATGACTAAGCGAGCAAATCGAGCGTGGGAATCGATTCGGCGACAGCGAGCAGCGGCTGCTGATTGAGCAGCGTCAAGCGAGAGCGAGCGAGCGACAACAAAAACAGCAATCAAAGCCTTCAGCAAAGTTGATGATCAAAGTCTAGCGCTGATCTTTTTGCTTGATTGCTTGATTAGAAAGGCAGTGGATTCGTAATTCCTTCTTCTTTCTTCTTCAATCAGATATGGGAGAGCGATGAACAAAGGCGGGCTCACTTTTGTAGCTGGCTGCAGTGCTTTGTTATTGTTGTGCTGGCGTCTGCTGCAGCGTCTGTGTTGTTGGCCAGAAGTTAATAGAAGTTCCAAAGTTGTGAAGGCAAGTTCTAAAATCAGCTTGAAACTCGTCAAGTTTTGAGAAAGATGAGACGGAAAGCGAGAAAGACAGAGAGCGAGATCTTCAGACTTTGTCGTCGTCGTTTGGCTGCGAGTCACAACAAACCAAGCAAGCTGTCTGCTCTGCCAACAATGAACAAATGCACAGTGGCAGGAGACACTGACAGACAGACAGACCGAATCTGGCAAACACAGAGAAGCTCGCTGTGCGCAGGTCGCCCAGCCTAGACAACCAGTCGGCGCATGCCTCTGAAGGTAAACGCGATGACAGATAGATAGATAAAAGGTCTGGTCAAGCAAAGAGTGTAATTTAATGATAATGTTATAGTGGGGGAAACAGAGACAAACAGGATGATGGGGAGGGAGAATGAGAATGAGGGAAAAGAGTGAAAAAGTTGATGAATGGAAGCACAGTGGTGGGGGTGATCATCAGAATCAGAATCGCTTCGACTTGTTGTTGTTGAAGGAGGAGAAGAGCGAGTTGTTGCTGTTCGGAGAGGTGAAGGAAGAGGAGGGTGTGCCAAAGGATGATGAGGACGGCTGGAACTGACCACCGATGGAGGGGTTTGATGCTGCGGCATTCAGTGGACTGTTGGCCGCAGAAGAGCCGGCGTTCTGGAGCGCCGGAGTGCGCACCAGAAAGGGACTAGGCCCGTACTGACCACTGCCTCCCGTCGACTTTTCATTTGAACCTGAAGTAGCTGCAGCGGCTGCCGCCGCCTCTGCCGCCTCCAGCTTCTCCTTGGCCGCCTCTGCCCTGAGCCGATTGGCGTACTCGTGAATGGCGTAGACCTTGGCGCCCACCGCCACGAAGATCTCGTGCTGCTTGCGAATGATGGTGTTGATCTCCTCGTAGGAGAAGGAGGAGGAGGAGTTGACGCCGGTGCCCTCTCTGCCCACCGTCGCACAGTACGACCGCAGCATCTCAATCTGCTCGCTGTAGGTTTCCATCTGGGCGCGAAAGCCCTCCACCAGCTCCAGAAAGTACTGCTGCGTGTTGGCGTTGACGAAGTTGTTCGCCGCCGCCGTCACGTCCCCGGCGCCGCCCATCATCATCATCGAGTGGCCGATGGCGCCGCGGGCGAGGTTCGACGCCAGCGAGCTGTTGCTGTCCAGCCGTGAGATGCGGTACACCAGTTCGCCGTTGGAGAGCAGCTTGCTGGTGTCCCGCTTCAGCAGCTCCACCGCCTTCGCGTTCTTCTGCAGCTCAATGTCGACCTTGTTGAGGCGCTGGCGGAGGACGTCCTCCACTGCCGTGCCAATCTCCAGTATCGGCTGGATGTAGTAGTGCTCGTGGGCGTTCTCGTCGCGAATTGCCTTCTGCTTCTCGAGGTACTTCTTCATCGACTCGATCAGCGGCATCAGCTCCGGCGGGACGAGCGAGTCGCGGTAGCTCTTGCTCTTCTCCGAGTTGTCGCCCGAAGACTTGCCATTGCTCGAGGGCAGAGGAGTGCCGCCTGTAAAAGAAAGATGTGGTGAGAAATAGAACATCAATCATCAAGATCAGTCACTGCAGTTACCTAGACCAACAAAGGAGACCGTCTTTGAGGCTTCAGGCGCCGTCGGTGCCGAGCTGGTCGTGTTCAGTGTTAGGGTGAGCGTTGGCTGAGGCTGAAGTTGAAGTT